GCCCAGAGGAGGATCCTGCCGCCGCTTTCCTGGCGCAGCAAGAGAATGAGATAGCGGGCATCGAGAACGACGAGGGCTACAGCATCCTAGAGAGCGGCGAGGTGCCGGCGGAGCTGCAGATTCCAGGTAGCCTCGGCTCGGGTACGTGTGGTGGGACGGTGGGCCCCGCTCCATGGCCCTTCCCTGTGACTGGGGGCCTTGTGGAGGGAGGCATGGTGCCCGGTGGGTGGGGCGGGGAGGCGAAGGGTCTCGGCCTGGCGGGACTTCTCGGTTTCCCGTCTTCCTCTGAGGCCTTATGGCCGGGAGGGGGAGGTGCCGGGGATACCCTTGCCTCAGCTTCCTGCCCCAAGCACTTCGGCAAGTGGGGCCTGGTTGTCCGGGGGTGGTACCGGCATCAGGTCTGGACCGTGCAGGCGTGTTGTCTTGGTCGTTCTGGGTGTGCTCAGGGTGAGTGTGCTCCCTCAGACCGGGTTGTGTTTATATCTCTTAAAGATGTGTAGATGCCGAGGCTTGCCCAAGTGTAGCTTGTAGAGAACAGTGCGGAGTAACTATCATACCCTCTAATCTGGGAGCCTGCGTGAAGATTTACTGAAAACGTGATAAATGTGTTGTGTTCTGCCACTTGTGTTTCAGTCTTCAGAGGCAATGATCTTAGTGTGCTAACAGTTGAGCTAATGTTTAATTTAAGAAACCTCTAGCCTTTGTTTATTGGTAACCTTTGCACTGAGTGTGAGAACTGACACTGAAAAACACGTTACCTTCGGAGGAGGCTGGCTGTGTATATTGGGAACTAGAGGTTAGTGTGTTTTTAGTTAGTCTAATAGTAGCTAAAGCAGCCCTAATTGAACACATCTGATTACAGAAGGTTTAGTGTTTTTAACGTATGTCTAAGTGGAAAGGAATTGTGAATGTAGGATGCTGCTTTCAACTGATATTTCAATAGTCTTGGAAGATTTGCTTGTACTTGTCGCTAGGTCCATAGAAGCATATTTGCTCCTGTGATGTTATTTTGTCACTTCTGGAAGATGCTGCTCTTCAGACTAAGTTGAATAACTGCTTCCCAGTTCACTGCTGGAACTTCTTTAGAATTAAGTCTTATGCAGCCTGACTTCTGAAATTACTGCCATATCTTACATATGAGTATACAGGTTCATAGTATCTGTTGGAATAAAGCCCAACTAGATAAACTGAGTAATGAAAACCTGCTGGTTCCAGTGCAGCCCTTAAAGCCAGCTCATTCATGGACTATCTAAACGTATGGACTATGTACTTCTTGTAAAAGGGGAGTAACTTGCTCAAGCTGTAGAACATGAGGATAATGGTTATCAGAACACCATGCTGCTTTGGTATAAGACATAATTTGACTTCTGTATTCATTGTATTGTGCAGAAACAGACACAGTGAGTACTTCCCTTCTGCTTTCAGAAGCCTCTGATAAGCATTATGCCTTATGGTCTTTACATTCCAGACAAGACTCCGTAACATTAAAGTAGCTATTTGAATTTCTTGGCCTTTCTCACAAGGTGTGGGAACCAACTAGATCCATACTTTCTCGACAGGCATGCTGTGTGGCCATTGCTGAGTAATTCGTTGTGGAAAAGTCAAATTGTTAAATACTTCTGGATTGGCTTGATATGTGAAAGTAGTTCTTAAGCTGGTTTTCAAGAGTTTTTTCTCAAGTCACGTAAGTTCACTTGTCATGGAATGCGAAAGTGTTATTGAGTACCTTTCTCTAGAAAGAGGGTCACAAATTATATGATGTGGAGGTATGATCGAAGGATCTGGAAAGTCTAGGTGTGATATGTGTGGTGCCTTCTTGTATGTGCTACAATTGCATTTATTCTCTGGCCTGTTAAACAGGCATAGCAGATTGTGCTGGTGGACTTTCAGTGGTCTCACTTTTTAAAAGAATATCCATTTGTTGACTGTCAAAGCCTGTACTTACTCCTTACTTGTTAATGACTGTGGAACTGCCACAGCGCAAAATGTAATGGTTCAAGCGTGGTGATAAATGATCCAATGACTTTGGTTGCCAGTTGTGTTTGAGATTTCTTATCTGATCAGTATCCTAATATCAGGCAGCTCTAGTCTCTAGTGCATATTAGTTTATTAAACTAACTAGTTTTGTAACTAAAAGGTGAATGCAAATTACTTTCGGAAATAATATAAATTGTTATGTAAATCCTTAAGCATTGTGATTGGTGATTTGTAGATTTATATTTTTAAACTGTAACCCTCTGAGCTCCTTATTTACAGGTCTGTTGGATACATTTGCTTTCTAAATATTGGGCCAAAAGTTATAACTAAGGCAGCTCTCAACTGAAATTTGAAGATCTTAGCTTCAAATACTGTGTGAACCAGTCACCACCTTCTTGAAATACTGTGTAAAGCAGTTCCCAACTTCTTGAAATACAGTTATAAGAAATGTGGTGTCTCGTACAACAAACAGGTTTTTTTCAACTGCAGCCTTTAAAAAAATTAGACAAATACATGGACAGTAGTGAACTCCATGAACTGTTAATATCGGGAAGCTGATAATGCTGTATATTTCTGTTAATTATAGTAATGTCGGATACTGAGTGAGTATGGGGGAAGTGACATAATATTGCCAAGCTCATGTGTCTCACTCATTGTCACTTTATGTCGGATTTGGAATACTGGTCTGAACCAGGAGACTGTTAGATAAATAACTATCCTGTTCAAGCTTCCTGAGCATGTGAAAACTGATTTTATTTCCCTTGAAAGAAGATGAAGCATAATCATTGCTTCAGAAAACAAAGTACTACATAACAACTAATACAGTGGTGTTGCCTAGTTATTAGTAACTGTCTTTTATGAGATTTCAGTGATAAATCAATGCCTGCACTTATTTACCATCAAATTCTTTAATTCTCTCCAGTCTGGCAGTACTAGATCTTTAAGATTTTAGAGCTTGCTGTGTCTTCTGAGTGGGAGAGAGCGAGTTCATGTTGAAGTGTGTGGCTTCTAGAACATTTGTCAGGTAGCTTTGTATGGAAAATGACATTCAGAGATAAGCGTTTTTACATGTTAACAATCATGGAAATGCATGCAAGTTTAATATAGACTGTCTTATCTCAAACACTGCCTTCCTGGTTTCAAGCTCTGTCATTTTTAAGTGAACTTGAATGAATTATGTTTCTCCATCTTCTGAGTCCCCCTTCCAGGGACTGAATATCAATTCATTACGAAAGAGTTGTTTCCTCTTGTCCCTTTAGTTAGCACCACAGACAGTTACTATTTGTGATTTGTTACTTGTGACTTAATGGCTTGAACAGCCATTGTTCTGCATTTTGCTGTGCAACCAGTATCTTGAGTCTTGCAAACTCTAAGGTAGTACTGAGAAAGGTATAGCAAGGAATGTTTAACTATTTGCTGACTTGTGATACTTCATTATTATAAAGCTTGTGGTGGAAAAAACCCATTCCTATTTTACTGCTTACAAGAGAATACTACGTGTGTTGGGAAGTTACAGAAGCTCTTATGGCACAGCATTATTGCAGAGAGAGGAAGGTGTGATCTAGCCTTTTGAATATATTGAAGGTGAGGGAATTACAGTGGGTTTTGATGTGACAGCAGGTTACAACTAAAACACAGGAAAGAACCACTCTTCCTTATCTGTTTGCCTTTATTTTGCACACAAGCATGAGGATGAGTTATGCCTAGAAAAACTATCTAAACAAAAACTTTGGAGAAGAGTCTTCATTCTCATCTTCTTCTGGGTTAGAGGTAGATGAAGAGCAAGCATGATGTCTGCCCAGAAGAAAAAGGTCAGAAATCTAGGCATTAGGTGATGAAATCACTTAACCTTATGCCAGAATATATTAAACTTGGTTATGTTTTTCTGTTTTGTTTTTTCTGTTTGTTTAACTGTAGCGACTAGTTCACCAATGAAGCAGTAGAGTTTACTTAAAAGATGCTGAAAGTAGGTCATAAAATTATGTGTGGAGATATTGAAGTTCAGTTCTGCATGAGGACTTTTTTCAAAGCATACCTGGATAGGAGGACCTCAGGAGGAACTAATCCATGTGTTGGGAAACAGTTAGACTTGTATTAGAAGAGGTGCCTCTGCAAAGTCCTGCCTCCGACTGTCCTGGTAGTCATTGTCTTTTGCGTTAAGAGTAAGGCTTCAGGAGGACTAGTGAACAAGGCTAAGCCAGGTAGTACTGAGTCTGGTATTAGTGCAAGTAGTTGCATTCTGATCATCATTGTGATAATCCTCTGAAGCCATTTGTTGATTTGTAGCACTGATGTGACAGAATTGTTATACTTATCTTCAAGCTACCCAACCCTTTCTTTTGTAAGCTCTAGTACATGTGGAGAGCGCTGATTCTAGCTGTTTCTGTCAGGCTTGACTGTTCCCTCTCTCCTGCAAATGTGAGGTAGCTTTTATAGCTTATCCTGTCTGAACCCTTCCAGACTCTTAAACTATCTGGTTTTCTGTGTGGAAGTTCACTATTACCCCCTTGTCAGCATGTGTTGTTTGGACATATTTTTTGCAACAGCATCCTTAGAAGTAAAGCTTTATCTTAAGTTCGGAAGCAGACACCAAGGAATATGGATCGTTACTAACTAGAATAGTTCTAAATGTGCAGGACCTTCAAGATACAATACTGTGATAGAATTAGATGGACTCTGAAACCAGCGGAGAGCTCTTGTTGATGGCCGATGAAAAAATGATGATAGCAGTAACAGTATTTAGGCTGTTTCTGTGTGAAGTCAGGTTTTGTAGACAATGACATGGTTTTGTAGATAAAAACCTGATACACAACTGGCATTGATTGCTTGCCAGCCTTCATATCTGTAATTTTTCTAGACTTCATAAGGAATTGCACAGACACTGAGACTTGAGAGCTGAAGTGAGAGAATGTATAACTATTACTCCTCTTGTTCCAGTTAACATACTTGTACTGGCATATGACAGCATGCTGGTAGAGTGCCATTTCCTCTTCTAGTTGTGGTATGCTTGGTCAGCATGCTGATTCTTCATTTTAATCACAAGTTCTAGGGAGCTCAGAAGAGATAGGAAATTTGGTTTTTGTATTTTTAATGCTTCTGACTTGAGTGCCATCTGGAAACACCTAGCTCTGTGCAGTGACTGAAGAAAACCAGAAGAAAAGTGG